CACACACACACATATATATATATATATATATATATATATATATCATTAAAAAATACAAAAAGAAGTTTTAGGTCATTTTTGGCAACTTAATACTTTAAAAAAAAAGTCACTAAAATTTTGTGAGTTTTGGGCCAGCCTGGGCTGCATGACACCCTGCCTCAAAAGTTTCTATTGCTGCCTTATAAGCTAGTTCTAAAGTTAAATTAACTGAAATTCTCCAGGCAAAACACACCCAGTGTGACCCTTCTGGGCTGTCTGTGGCTACACACCAAGGTTTCCAGAAAGTGGTGCCATTGAGAGACCCTGACACCTTCACCTTTGGCCGTGGTTCCAGTCATCCTGGCTCAAGGCCTGGATAGCACACCACAGTGCTGGAGTGCTGAGCGGTGGAAGAAACAGATCCAGAACCTTGGAGTTCAAACTGGGCCCAAGGAAGCTGCAGTCTAGTCCCACATCGTGGATGAGGAAGCCAAGCATCAGCGTCAAAGTCAATCTCTGGCCACAGCTGCTAAGTCCTAAAGGCGACACTGACCTCGGGCTCTGGTGGGAGCTGATGACACTTGCCAGGTCTCTCCCTTTTGTGGTTTCAAAAAAAAATTTAATAACTGGCAAGGTGCTAACCAAATTCTGTCCTTGATAAAGCAGCTATCTTGGTAAAGCCATCTCTGCGTGGCACACTTTCTGCACCTCCTCTTATTTTGCCCTGCAAAGAAAAGAGCTGTGTGAAGCCAGTACCACCAGCTCCCTGGCTCTAGGTGAGGCCATCACACACTTGCAGATGATGCTGTTCACCAGCTGCTGACTCAAGCCCTGGTTTCTCAGCTCCAGGAGAATGAGAGCCAAAGCATTTTATTAGAAATGAAGAGAGACAGCACGGAGCCAAGCTTACAGAAGCTTACACCTTTTGCTGTTCGGTGTAGGAGACAAGTTTGCCTTGAGTAACTGTTCGGGTGTTGGGATGAAGCTTGCAATGCAGCAAATGCCCTGGAACTCTTTGCCCTGGCTGGGTGAATGACTGGTCTCCAGGGCGCAGAGCTCCCACGTAAACCTTCCCAATGGCCCTGGGGAAAAGAAGATGCTCGTTCTCTCTCTCTCTCTCTCTCTCTCTCTCTCTCTCTCTCTCTGTGTGTGTGTGTGTTGTTGTTGTTGTTGTTGTTTTCTCTTTGATTTGGGATAGTCAAAGATGGTTTCATAAATATTGGTTATTGTAAAAGCCAATCAAAAACTCCGAGCTTGACACAGCTCTCTTTCCCCATGTTAACATGACAGTTAAATGCTGCCTATTTCAAACCTCCAGCAGGAGGGACCTATGTGTCACTGCAGAAAGGAAGCAGCCGACTCTTTGCAGAAATTCTCGTGATGCTGCCTCTGTCCCACAAAAGAAAAGCATCCGTGCTGATTATGAGACCCTTACGTCATCCTTAGAAAGACCTCGACCTATTGGGCTGATCTGAAGGCAGGTGGGCAAACCCAGCATCAGGACCCCACCATGCACTAGCTGAAGGGCTCCACAAAGCTCTGTGTTCAGATGATGACATCCTATGTGGTTAGGCTGCATCATTATCCAGCCCACACACTCAGGCTGCCAAGGGCACCATCTATGGCATTACTGCCTGACGGGGCTGTGATGAGAGCAGCACCCTCATGCGCGCAGCTAGACACACAGCGAGAGGAGAAACCCTGCCTGATGGCCGAGGAGGTCTCCGCATACTTCAGAAGGAAAATTTTAAAACAGCTACAGACAAGTGGGCTCTTGTTCAAAAGTGCCGTGAACGAACCTTTAGGGACAAAGAATAGGAAGCAATCAGGAGGACACTTGAGAAAATATACCCATTTATGGATTGTGAGTCACCCACTTGATCAATGCCACGTCTTAAAGGATCAATGAGTAAATTAGTGTTGAATGCTCAAAGGAGGGAAAGGCAGAAGAGAGGCTGTAATAAGTAAACAGGAAGTAGAAAAATGACAGATGTGAACCGATTACAGAAACAACTGGATCACAGTGCTCAAAGGAACTGTCGCTTGGAATGTCTGTGACCTCTCTTCATCCTAAAACCAGTTCCTCAAATTATGGTGAGCTCAGTAATTACCCTGCGACAGGTTAGACTTTAGTGAAGGAAAGTTAAAGCTCACAGTGTCATCAGCAACCGAAGACATTTTCATATTGTAAAGATGAGGACATCAAAACAAGGCCAGGTGGCACAGAGGGGATATAAACACCCCAAAGAAAGACGATTGTTTCTCTGAACGGCTTGAGCAGCTCCAGAAATATAGTTAGGACCTTCACCAACACTCTTGAATAAATACATGAGAAAATATTTTAGGCAATATCTCGTTGGAATCTAACCTACTTTCTTCACCCAGAAAAAGAGCCCACTTTTTGGTAAAATTTGGAAATTTTCTGCTTCTGAAAAATGACCACTGTGGGTTTTGTTTTGTTTTTGTACAATATCAATGCAAAAACATTGACTATGATTAAGAGTGGATGCATGTGGAACAAATACATTGTCATGGTCCAAAAGATGAACATTTTATATTGGAACGGCCATTTCTGTATGCAGACAAACAACCCTCAAATAATTCACAACAAATTAGTATATTCCAGAGTTACCTACTGTCACATACACATTTCTGTTTTACTAATCTCACAAATCTGTTTACATGTGCTTTCCCCTAAAGGTCTAAAAGCAAAATACATTAATTTTTTGCCACATATTTCTCTAGATTCTTTTGAATTTGGGTACTCCACCACTCCAATCACTGATCTGGCCATCAGAACCAGCGTGAAAATGCTTACCTTGGAAGAGAGGACAGGATAACCCCACAACACGTGTGCCATGGACAGCGACAGAACCAAGATAAGGCTGAGCTTCACCGAACTGCAGAGCAGAAAAGACAGAACCTCTGGTTAAATACAGAAGCAAACACAAGCTTGAAGAACACACAAAATTTATTATTTCTCTTGGCAGACAGAAATAGGCAGCACTTTACCTAATCATTTTGGATTTTCTAAGATCTGTGCCAATGGGTTTTTATTGCCAAGTTCCTCACGCTGGCTCTCTGACATTCCTTGGGTGACTCTTTTATATCAGAAGTAAAAATGTCATTGAGATCCATCCTGTGTGACTGGCTGGCCTGGCTGTGGCCTTTTGTTCTTGTTAAGAAAGAAAAGGACAGTAACGTGTAAGCTGTCGCTGAGTTACCGGGGTTGACTTCATTCAAAGCTTGCCATTAAGAATGACCTTCGAAGACTCAGCCCCTTGCACAGCTTCCCTGTGACGCGGGTGGCCAGGGGCCTCCAAAGGAACTTTAAGTATTGTTTTTAGCTAGAACTTTAAACACACAGAAAGGATAACAGTGTTTCCTTGAATGTCAGAGGCCAATACAACTGACATCACTGACGGACTCAAGAGGAACCACACAACTGATGCAGGCAGAACAGGTCTCTACGCTTCATCTCCTTCCTTTAGGACTGCAGCTGTCAAAGCAAAACAAATTTCACATCTGTTGTTGCTGGTCCCCAAGTCAAGGAATGACACTGTGTCTGTCCTTTGCTGTTCTGTGAGCCTCTATATTCACCGCTTCCTTTCCTCTGCAGGAACAGAGCCTGTCCAGGAGCCTGACTGCCCCTACACATCAGTGGGCGATGGTGTTAAGAACCTGATTCAGGGGCATTAAGCAGGGACAGATGTTGCTGAGGGCCACAATGGAAGAAAGCACCAAGGGAGGAGCTTCTGCTCTTGCTTCTGAAATGGTGCCAATGTTTTTCAATACAACAAAAAGTGGGGCGCTGTCTCAGTTGCCCAAGTGCTTGCCACATAAGTATAAGGACTGGAGTTTGGACTCCTAGAAGCCATGTAAAAACCAGGTCCAGTGGCACACACGTGTGATTCCAGCACCCGTGAACTGAAGACAAGCAGAACTCTGGTGCTCACTGTCCAGTCAACCTAGACTAGCAATGAGTCTCTGAAGGCGAGAGACCCTGCCTCAAACACAAGGTGGAAAGTCACCGAGTAACATCAGCCTCAGACTTATACACACACAGTAGATAACTATGCACATGCACCCACATACTCAACACACACACACACACACACATACATACACCACCGCCACCAAGCAACTGAAGAAAATCCTTTCCTTCTCAAGATCCTTGCCTTTTGCCACATCTGGGACATAGCTACTTGTCACGGCTACTTTCACCCCTTTCTCTTGGGAAATGTCCCTCTGTGTGACTTTCAGGCAACTGTCAATTATGCAGTCCCAATCTGACTACCACAAGGACAGGGAGGTGACCCAGCTCCTGAGAGAACTCAGATCACAGCACTAGTGCCAAGCCGGAGGCCTGGAGCAAGTATTCCCAACACCTTTGCTGAGAGTTCTTTTGGGAACATCATGTAGACGTTGGGAAACAAAGGGGGCTTAAGGAGTTGAGGATACATTTTCTCTTTCGGTTGCTCCTTAAGACCAACTCACACACACACACACACACACACACACACACACACACACACACACATCAATAAAACCCACAAATCACCACCAACCACCAACAACAGCAAAAAAGAATAGAGAAGAGAGAGGTTATATCCAGCAGCAACCTTTCGTTGACTGATGAGCAATAGACTAGCTAGTTCTGGGAAGTGCTTGCTGACAGTCTCTAAATAGACTCAGCTATGCTTAGAACTGGGGGCTGTTGACAAGGAGTAAAGTTCACAGCAGAGGGAGGGCCAGTAGAAGAGTGTTTAAGAATCTTGCAAATGCCACATCGTTCCTCTTCTTCTTGGACTTGGCAGGAGACACTAGATCTCCTCTAAAGAGGGGCTAACCAGAGGTCTCCTAAGGGAAAGCATTAGATATAGTGGAGTCCTAAAATCAAAGGCACAACTCAATGCCATAACCCATGGATCTGACTCTGAAGTCGCGCAGCTCCTGGCACGCTTCCAGAAGGTCCCTCATCATCAAAACAGGCAGTGAAGCATCTACCCAAGACAAAAGGAAAGGGCTGCAGGAACTTCAGGGATGCTAAACAAAAGCATCTCAGCTGACTGCAGGATGCTAACCTTCCCTGGTATCAGCTCTGGTAACGCAAATCCTTTGGGGAATTTTTTTTTGGTACCCAATTTTAAACATTCACACTTGACCAAGACAGAAGTACAACAACTAAAAACACCTACCGAGTTGGACTCCAGTTAGAAGAAAGAACAGCAACATGGAAAATTGTGAATAAAAGAAACAAGATATAGGAAAAAGATGAAGGGGAAAAACTTAAACAAAACAACTTGATATTTTCAGAAGGAAGACAAAATATATCTGTGAAACAAGAAAAAAGCTATACAAAAGGAAAACTGCAGATGACAAATTATCTAATGAAAACTAAATAAAAGAAAACTTGCAAGTATTGAAAAAGAAGGTTAACTAAATCTTCCAGATGTTAGATTAAAAAGACAAAGAAGAAAGTTTGTGTTGTTAAAAGAGTAAGACCAGAGTGATTCCATACAGACATGATAGAAATTCTAGAAAAGACAGCAGAAGGATTGAGAAAGCAGAGAACCATGGATAAAATATTATTTCTCAGCTGGTGGTGGTGGCCCATGCCTTTAATCCCAGCACTCAGGAGGCAGAGGCAGGTGGATCTCTGTGAGTTCGAGGCCAGCCTGGTCTACAAAAGCTAGTTTCCAGGACAGGCTCCAAAGCTACAGAGAAACACTATCTCGGAAAAAAAAATCATTTCTCCCAAAGTTTTCCAGGCGGAAAGGACCCAGCCTTGCCTAACAGAATGAATAAAACAGCCTGTCTCAAAGCACACCACTCTAAAATTTTAGACAATTTGGTACAATTAGCTTCAAGATTATCTACAAGAACTCAACTCACAAATACTTTTGAGTGTCTCAAAAACAACACTGAGAAGGTAGAAGACAGCAAAACAATGCTCTCTAGGTTTTAGAGGAATTCCCAGCTACTTTTTCCAATTTAGAATTGGAATCCAGTAATTCAGAAATAACCAGAATTTATTCCTCTTCATTAACTGTAAGGCTATGACAAATGTTTCCGTCTGTTTAAGTTTCAAAACAATACTTCCTATAAACATTTTTCTCAGAAAGTTACTTCAGGATCTGTTCCCCCAAAGTGCATAAAACTATGAAGAAGATGAGGGACACAGCCACGAGGTGAACACAGGAGATGGAAGAAATTCCCAGATGGCAGCGAAGAGCAGTCCCCACTTCTATCTGTCTACCAGACCTGGAGGACCACGATCATATTGGGGTGGGATAAAGGGCTCTGAATGAGATTTTTGCAAGAGGATACAAGCCAAAAAAGTGGCTAACGGCCTTGGAAGGAAAATTAGACCACTGGAGAATTGGAGATTGAATTAGTGATGAGTCCGTAGAAAACCAAGCAAAAGAAAAAGAGATAAATTCACTCCAGGGAAAATGATGGCGCAGAGGAAGGAAAAGAGTTAGCTAACTACTTGACTCAACTAGGAAGACATGTGCACAATTATAATGATGTTATTACCAAGGGGTCTTCTAACCCAAAAGCAGCTTAACTGCACAGAAAGTTATTTCTTGCTTGAACATGCGTCTGGTAAAGTGGATCGCCTAACTTCTGCAGAGGGAACTCAAGACAGAACGTTGAAAAATGAAAATTCAAGCCACACGATGCATTCAGAGATAAACACAAAGATAATCAACTTTAAAGGGTTGAAAGCGGTGGCTCTGGAGGAGGAAACCGAACTGGAAATGGGCTATTATCACCAAGTGCTTCTGGGAGGATTTGACTCTTTCAGTAGAGTCTACTGTTAGCCGCGATGAAAGTAAAGCCTTGAGATTTTACAACATCACGGACCAGTTCTGTCTGAAGATGGCAGGGGGTATCTTTTGTGCTCCACAGGAAAAGACTGCCTGATTTAAAAGAGAAGAGCCCACACGAGAAATCCAAACCTAGGAATGAAAAGGGAGAGGAAAGGAATCAAAGGCAGGTGGACAGAAGGTGGACGAGAGAGGGAAGAAGAGAGAGTTATCAGGAGACGGACACAGAGAAACAGGGAGAGAAAAATGGAGAGAGGTAAAAGAGAATGGTTGTGGACAGATGTGGAGACAGATGTAGATTTGGAGCTCTAGGGAGAAGGAAATGAGGTAGGCAAAAAGAGATGAAGAAAGAAGAAAAATAGGGAGAGAGATGAAGAAAAGACAGAAGGAAGAGAGACTGAGGATGGCAGGCGGAGAGAGAGAGAGAGATGAAATTATACACCTTTTGAACTTAAATGCTTGAAACTCATTTTCCTTTGACATTTCATTTACATAAAGGAACTCTCCTCTTAGTACAAATTGGAGCTAAAAACATTTGGCTGACACACACTAGGCTCAGGGCGTGTGAATAGTAGTCGACACTTAGTACTGAGTGCTTGTTGTGGCAGGGTGCATGCAGCCGGGCTGCTTGCTGTGGTGCAGATTACAGTCTTCATTGCAGCTCTGGAATCTTCGGTGTGGTTACAACTCACTGTCTTTTACAACTGACTCTCAGAGAGGTAAGCAACTTGCCCAAGGTCATGAAACCAATGGAGGAGAGAGACGCTGTCACTCCAGCTCCATGGGACTTCCCAGGCTGTGTATGCTTTCGTGCATGGCCTTGACCCTGGCTGGAATAGCCAGTACTTAGGACAGTCAAGCCCCCACTATGTTCCTAGCCAACATATGAACACACTGAAGTTGGATGATCTCAGTGTTTGGAATCAAATGCATTTATTTCCAATGAAAATGTCACCTCCCCCTAGTTCAATACCCTTGTCCTTTCCCTAGATCTGGTGTTTTTGTCATCTCTTGTTCCCTTCTTCTCTAGACCAAGCTGGTTCTGTAATTCTAGAACCTTCCCCCTACCTCTCCCCATTCCTCTACCTCCCT